TTTGGAGTGGTTAAGTGGCTCATGCCTAACAGCATGTGTAGTACTGGGGCCCTGCCTGCCTGACTGCTCTCTATATACCTCCTAAAATAGAACACAAAGAAGAGGAGATCAGAAAGAGAAGAGGTCAACCTCTTGAGCCACTGGCCTTCTTCCACTTGTAATTAAAATGAAACTGAAACAACCAGTATACTTGAAGTTGTACTTTCCTGTGTGACTGAGGAAAGTCAGAGCTGAGAAGCCAGGGTGCTTTGTCATTATAAGGTGACCTACAATGTCGTTTACAGTTAGGAATGGTAGACTAATGGAGCAAAAGCTTATGAAGCCAGTGTTTGTGAAAACAATAAATTATTGCTGTTTTTCCTTCTTGTACTTCTTGGGAGGTAAATATTTCTTAAGGAGAAATCTCTAATTTTTTTCTTTGAAAATTTCCTTTGGGAAAAATAATATGTTTTGGCAAAGACATTAAAGCATAATAACATACTGTGTTTTTTAAAGAAACAATCAAAGGTGTCCATGTAGCAAGAGAATCAGCCACAATAACATGCCTTCCCCTCTCTGCTCCTGGGGAGATTTGTTTCAGAGGTAGGGACTTAGGGAGTGGATCTGGTGAACTTCCTTGACCCCTTTTTGTCTGAATTTGAGCAACTCTGGGATATTTGGAGGTCGTATAATTCGTCACCAAGTGTCCTGGGGCCTTTGTGCTTGCAAATGAATTTGCTGCCCAAGTGAAGACAGCAGCTCACCGCCCCCCACCACCCGCCCTGTCCCAAAATGAGAGGCTGCACACTCAGATAGTGAAAAACCATGCCAGAGAAGTGTACTAGGGAATGCTTAATTTTAGGGTATTACTTTCACATGGATGTGGGAAAGGAAAATGCAAAACAAAGAACATATAAAATCAGCTTTAGAATTTCTTTGAGGGCACATTTTCCCTGGAATTTTGGATAAATGCTCCCCTCCAGTGGTCAGACAGTAGAATACAAAAGAATAGGAAAGTAACTGGAGGTTACCAAGAAGTGAACAGGCTGTGTGGCAGTGTGCTTGTATAAGTTTTTGAAATACCTCTTGGTTCATGGAAAAACAAAACAAACCTCTTTTTAAATGAAAGCAGGAAAACAAGGGAAGGGAAGAGAAGAAGGAAATAATATAAACAAGAAAGAAACAAAACAAGCAAACAGTGGTTCACTGATTTACAGTACAACATCCAGGTTTAGCTATCTCTGTTTCATGGAGCCTTCTCTGATCACTCAGTATTGGATTCTCCCCTACACAGCCCAGTATAGAAAATGACAGAATGAGAATAATTTAATAAGACTGTGGTCAGTACAAGGTCCTGTCTGTCCTAGATGCTAAGGAGTGAAAGCTTCAGACACCCTCATATTTAATTAGCGAACTGAATGGAAAAGCACAGAACAAATAACTTTATTTGGGAAAGAAAGATAGGTACATCAAGAATGCTTTGAGAGGAAAAAGAAAGGCTGTCGTATCCAATTCTTTTTTCTTTTAAATTTCTTTATTGAGGTATATTCTCTATATGAAGTATTGGGTTTCATAAAGACAATTTCTTTCAAGTATATCATATATTCTTCCAGCTCCTTCTCCCCCCTCCCCAGCCAGCATCCTTTCTCCCCTTAGTCTCTATTGATGTATCTATTAAAAAATCTGGGATCCACAGATGATAGAAAACATATCCAATTCTTGACAAAGCTAAGGCAAATCTTCAACTGTAAGGTTTTTATAGGTGAGGAAAAATGAGACAGAATTCCTGGCCATAAAGTATATGGAGCAAAATCTCAAGCAGGAATTTGACCTGAAGCCTGTGCAGCTACCAGTCGTTCAAACCCACCTAGATTTCCCACATTAGATTGCAAGCTCTTTGAGATCTGACCCAGAGGTACCAGGTCATAGAATTGAGCACATAGTAGATGCTCAGGTAGAGCACACTTGCTAGCTTGCTATGTCCAGTGCCTCTACAAGTAAGGGGAAATGACAAATAATTAGGTCAAGGAGGTAATATCTAGGGTGAGATGCCAAATAGCTAGCAAGGCTGTGTTCCAAACTACACACAGAAAAGGGATTCTAATAATCAGAGTTCTCTTGCCCTCAGTATAAATCCTGCCTCAGCCTTCTTGAAGGTGTGCCCGTGGCAGGCACAGCACAAATTTGAGGTTTCAGGGCAGAGAGAGAAGAAAAGTGTTTCTTATTCTTAATGTAGAGTTTATTTTGTAAAATTACAGTACTAGTTTTCATTTGCCTCACTCTGTTTTTGTAAAAGAGGTAAGGATGAGTTAAAAATAAATAAATAAATAAATATCATCTTATGAACAACACACGGGAATTTTTTAAAATTTTTTCACCCACTTCCCAGATGGCACCCTCCCCTAGCCTCCCTCCCCCACTAGAACCCTTATACTCCGATATCCCTGCTACTGTCTGCTGTGTTGTCGGCACCCCCAGCCCTTCCCCACTTCTTGCCCTTCTGGTGAATCTAGTGAGCCTATCTAGAGGTCTTTGTTTTAGGAGGGTCAGCTGTTCCTCATCTGGCGGTAATCAGTTGTCAATATTCCTTTAGATAAGATTGGGGTCTTCTGTTCATTTTCCCAGTTCCATGCTGGGTTACTATCTGGAAATCCCTTTGGCCCCCCGGGCTAACAACTTACGGTAATTTTTTTTTTTTTTTTTTTAATGTAGCTTGGGGCTGGAGAAATGGCTCAGCAGTTAAGAACACTGGCTACTCTTGCAGAGGACCCAGGTTTGGTTCCCAGCACCCACATGGTGGCGACAACCCTCCTTATGACCAGTTCCATCGAATCCTATGCCCTCTTTTGACCTCTGTGGACAGTGTATGACATGGGTGTACATACATACATGTAGACAATACCCTGATACACAAAAAATAAAAATGTAAATAAAATATTTAAAAATTCAGCTTGTTTTATTTTTGTAGAAACTAAAACACCAGAGTTCATTGATTGCTATATTAAATACACAAATTGTAAAATAACCATTCATAAAACTTTATGTACAATAAGTAGATTCCAGTCTCTATAGTGATATATACAATATATGTACATGTCCTATGAACTTCAGAGGATCACTGCTGAAACTCAGTCAAGTTCAGTTTCTTTTTAATTAGCACTGAATAGCATATGGAGTCATTGGAGTTATGCCCACGAGATAGGAAGAACAGTGGCTGATGCAGGCTACTGAAGGAAAGCTCTAGAAACTGGGTCCCCAGCTACATTAATTCAATAGATAGATGAAGAATTGTGGATTCAAACACATTACCTTTATACTTAATCCCTACAGAATAAAACACTGTAGGTTAGATCATGCATGGCCCTTTGGGAAGGAGACTTTTAGTTGATAAAAACATATGACCTTTGACTGATTGTAATACTGTAAAATGTGCTGGTTTTTCTGTTGGTCTTCTAGAAACAAACAAAAAAATTGATGACCTAGGGAAGTAGATAACTGAAAATTCACAGGCAACAAGAGCTAATGAAAGTAAGTAATGAAAGGTAGGCAAGCAGAAAGAAGAGACAGCCATGGAGGTGGTGAGGAAAAATACCAGATACTAAACAAAAATGAGTTGCTTAGCAGCATCAGGAATGCATCTTCTGTAAGTCCTCCAGGGCTGAAGCACACATCCATTAATATCCTCACCATCATATTATATACAGAAAGTATGCTTGTGAATAGGTATGTCACATATTTATAAGAGTTTGGATTTTGATCTGCCTTCGTGTAGGAAGATGGTATAATTAATAGGGAAAAGAGGCACATTTGGGGAGATGTCTATCAAACATAAGTGACTGAAGTTTTTGATGAATGCTGGATCTGCTTCAGATTGGGAAATTGGATCATTCATCTTTCCATAATGTGTGGAGTCTTCATTATAGGAAAAAGAGACTCAAAGTTGTTTGTCTACACTACCGCCACCCTACAGAACTCTGTATATAACAAAGATGGAAATATAACGATGGGTATAAAGACCTCAGTCCTAAAAAGCAAAACGAAACCAGGAAGCCTCATAAAGTCAACCACCTGTACGTTAGGTTGAATAAAGTTAATTACATCTATTTTCCTGCACTACCCCTTAAGTATATATAATTTCATTTAAAATTTGAACTCTGACTCTCTCAATGATAGAAGCTTTATTTAAGAAGCCAAATTAAATACAGGAAAAATGTAAATTTGGTCCTTGAAGAGTCTTTCCTTCCATCATGCCAAATTCTCCTGTAAATATGCCTGAAATTCGGTCTCACAACAGTATTCTCTACAGTAATTAGAAAGCAGTTGGACAGAAGAGAATTCTCCTTCTGTGTCTTTTATCTCTGTCTATACCAAAGAAGTCCATTTGAAGAGGGTCTTGGGTTCACAGTCATTGAAGATTTGCTTACATTGTTGATATCTCCAAAGTTATATTGATTTTTTCAGTACAAGAGCTCAAATTAAATACAATACCTAAACTCTATTAATTGCCAGGGTAAGAGTCTAGGGGATAGCTCTGTGCTTCCCAACATGCTCTGGCACCTGAGTTCAATCTCTAGAGCTATCATAAAAAGAAAATAAAAGGGAAGGAGGGAAGGAGACAGGGCAGTTAAATGGCTACATCTTGGTTAGGAAATTTCACAGATAAACAGTGTAAACCCCAAACAGCATAGCCAGCTCTTATAACTCTTATTCTGGTTCACTCATGTGTATGCACTATGTCAGTCTTTGACAGATCAAAGTAATATAATTAAATGTTTTTAAGTAGAGTATGCTGTTCATCTATTTTAATGTAATATCATGCAGATGGCCCAAAAATTTAAAAATCAACACATAACCAACAAATATTCTATTTACAGTGACATGAAAACCTAGGCAGGTTAAAATAACAAGCATCATTTAAAATAATGTGCTTATCAATTACATTGAAGATTTGAACATTCAAATTATACAATGGGTTTATATAGAAAGTTAACAATAAATAGGCAGAAAGAAAGAAATTTGGGAGAAATTTATTTAAAATAGTCAAAAATAACCAAACAGGTTGAAATAAAATACTGTAACAAAAAAAGATTTGGCAAACTATTTCTTCTACTACAAGTGGAAACCCCTTCTGACCCCAGTGATGATCCATACCTTCCAAGTTGGGAAGAACCATATACCTGCATGAAAAGTGATTTCTGAGTTGAAGAAAATTCAAAACAAAATGCATCATTTCATTCCTAAAACCTTACTGTTAGCAGTAATTTAACTGATAGAACAAGTCAAAAAGGATCTGATTTGCCAGTTTATTCTATCATCACTCTAAATGCTAGTTGAATGGCATGTGAAAAAGACAGTTAGCTTAAAGACTGCTTTGCAGTGTGGTTGGTCAGTCTGTTTCTTCTCGCTTATGGAAATTTTACTGTCCGGAACATGCTAAATTAGGGCTTTCGTTTATTTCAAACTACTTAAGTCATTTTCAAAGGGATGAATACTTTGCTAAGAAAAATTAGGTAAATGAACCCAGATGGTGCTGGTTCCTTATAATTCATTGGCCAAGTGTGTCAGGATAATAAAGTATAGAATGGGAATTATCTTTTAAAAAAAGAAACAGAAGCATAGTGTCTTCTCCATTCCAATGATACTTTCGTTTGGTTATTCTTAGCATTGTATTCAAGGGAAGCAACTATTTAGATATGGTCTATTTCCTGAATCCATTAATAATAGAAACACATACTTGCAATTTTCTCAGTCCTCTTCTAATTATGGAAATGGACATCAGAGAAATGCTACCAAAATATTTAGACTTTTTAGCATAAATATATTCATATTAATATTGAGGATCATGATCAACACTTGGTAAAGATGTCACCATTTAGTTTATAAGCTAGAGAAATTTGATGTTCTGTATGTTGAACAGAAAAAAAGAGCTCCCCTCCTCCCATCTAAGTTTCGTAGATGATCAGCCTCACTGATGTGGCTGCCAGACAATTTGGTACGAGTATGATGCAATTCCATTAACAGCAGAGAAGCAGATAGGGCATATGATTATTTCACACCATTTCTTCCAAAATTCATAATAATTTAGAAATACTTCTCTGATATAAAATTTAACCTACAAGTTTCTTGATGGGGAAGCCAGGAGAAACAAAGTGTGCTTATATCAGATGGAGTATGGGGTTTACTCTGATGGGTCTCAGGATGGTAAGTGAAGAGTAATTGAAGAGAAAAAAGTCTCATTGATGCACTTCCATAATTTGTGATTGAGCTGCGTGGCAGACATTGTAGAAGTACCCTGTTTTCACATTAACTGCACAATGAATCTGCTATTCATATTTGATCCAGAACTTACCTTAGTTGAGTAAAGTCTCCATTTGGATAGTTTGATTTGTATGTTTGCATTAGGACACATGACTTGATCTTCCTGAATGAAACAATCAGGATTATGAGATGCTCTCTGTTCTCTCTGATCCTTGGTTTCATAGCTGGCTCTCCTCTGATGACTGTGGGATTTTGTTTGATGCCATGCATCACAATCAGGAGAGCTAGGAGGTGCTTAGCACTGAAAGGACACACTCTGTCTTGCTCAATAGAATAAGACAATCTATTTGTTGCGGTTTATTAGATATCCTGGTTGTGAATCTCTCAATCCTTATTGCTAATAATGTCCCAGGTAGCTCGATCGGAAAGCTGCGGTGATGCTCAGTTTTGACCATGCTGAAGGACTAGTTCATTAAATAGGGGAATCTGTTTCTCCACAATACAAGAAAGTCAAATAATACAGCATTTATAATAATTACAAAGCACTTTGTGCTACTTTAAGCACCTCTTGTTCCAGAATTGCAAATAAAACCTTATGAAAAAGCATTTAACCCCCATTTTGCAGATGAGGAAACTGAGGCACAGAGAGGTCAAGTGACCTGGGTTAGAGTAAATATGAACAAAATGTGGGACCCCAGCATTCTGTTTTTTCTTATAGATTCTTAAGTTATGCTGGCCTTGAAAATGCCAGTGCTAAAACTGAATGATAAGATACTCAATTCACATATGGAACTATTTGTGTAGCATTTCATAGAAAGAGTTTCTGGCTCCCTACACACATTCTTTATGCATGGGAATTCTAGCCCCATAAATAAAACCTTGAAAATTTGAAAAATTGAGGTTGTCTTGTTATCTACAGTAAATGAGGTGTAAAATTAGCTTTTCAGGAACATATATTTACTCTCCTAGCTGAATCCAAGATTCAGTAATACATAACTTAGGAAAAGCACCAGTCTTCTAATTACCTCTGGTACAAAACTGCCTTATCAGTAACATGTTCCTCTCTATAAAAAAAGTAGAGCTATCTTCTGTTTTGGAAAATTGCGTTATCACTCTAAACAAGATTCAGATTGCTCTAGGTCTGTTAGGAGACTTCTAATATTCACATCTCTCTGGCAAACCCAACTGTTGGCAGAAATTTACTTATCACCTCTAAGATGGATTTACCCACATCATGTATATTCATCCACAGACAATTTTAATTTGAAAATCAATGTTACAAAAATTGGAATCAGAGGTGCTCTCTGGCCCTGGTTCCCTATGGATCTTGGTGTTCAGAACTAAGTCTGGGAGCTTATGGTTTAGAGCATCATCTTCATCATTTTCAATATGAATGAGATCAGTCCATTCTTGGTGGAGAAATGCAGATGTGTAAGAAGAGGAAGCATCAAATTTGAATTTATTTTCAAGTTACATTCGCTGAAGTCCTTAGCCTTGGTTGTCAGTTTCCTTAGGGTCCCCTCCTGGGGTGGACTTCTCACCACCTTTTGGAGAAACAAAGTGGAGAGTGCTTTCCTTCCATTTACATTGCAGATGCTTCTGTTCCTGAGTTTAAAACAATCACAAAGAAAGAAAAGCAAATCCCTGTAGTAAGAAACCAGACTTTTCAAATGAAACATTTTATTGTAAATAGCTCCTCATAGGTATTCCTCGTGCTTCATTCCCCACCCGCCCTTGTATTTTTTTTCTTTTTGTTTTAATTTTTTAAAACGATGTCTGTTTGCAGGAATAGTGTTTCCATGGGATGTGGTGTTACATTAAAATGACCCCCCCTGCACAGCAGGAGTTGAATGTTTCATTGTAACTTTGGTTCCATGCCCAAGACACATCTTTGCTTGATCTGCTGAAACTGGTTCCATTGCTGAATTCCTCCTTCACATAACATATGTTTATAGTTCTCTTCTTCTGGTTTGACATACATACGTTTCATTAAATGCAGCATATATTGTAGATTTTCAACAGGGTCATTATGAACTGTCAAGTAAGAAACCTTGAATAATGGCTTTAAAGTACACAGTCTTGACTACAGGGTAGTTCTTAGCTTTTGATTTCCCTTGCACTGGTGTAAACAAATTCGCCATCGTTGAAGGTTTAAAAGCATTTGCCTTTTGGGGTATGATCCGTGTTTTCGATTTTTCTGAAAGATAGAGGAAAAGATTTCTTCAACCATCAGTTTGTTAACAGCTGAACCAGAAAAAAGTTTGGTTTACTCTCTGGCACCAAAACCAAAGCAATAAAAAAATAAGGCCAGCCTGGTCTACATAGTGAGTTCCAGGACAGCTGGGGCTACAGGGAGACCCTGTCTCAAGAGGAAAAAAAAAAAAAAAAAAAAACTTTTAAAAAGAAAGATAAAAATATTTTTATTTTTGTATATATTGTTTAGTTGAATACATTTGGGAAAGTTACATAATATCTACAGGTTTACTTTAAGACAGAAAAGTATTACTTATTTCATGGTTTATAGCAAAATGCATATAAAGAAATGAACAGTTTCTATAGTAAATGTTCTGAAATATTAGCTGTCATCATATTACCTTCTCATCTGTGTCAAATATCATCTTCAGATTTTATTTATTATTTATTTATCTATTTATTTTAGTCTTTTTGAGGCAGTGTCTCCTGTATCCCCAGCTGGCTTGGAATTCCCTATGTAAACAAGGCTGGCCTAGATCTCACAGCTATTTGCCTGCTTCTACCTCCCTAGTGTTGGGATTAAACCATACCCAGCTATTTTGGATATTATTTTAAAAGCAGGGCTTTTATGTCACATTTCTTTTCCATAATTATAACCATGAGCATGTTGTCTCCACCCAAGAGATTGATGGGAGACCTTCCTGGGGATTCTGCCACACAAATGCTCTGGTAGGCATTTAGATGACCCTGAAAATGAGCTGTGCCAATCAGGACTCTCTACTCCCAGTTAAATACTACTTCAATGGAGCTCTCCCTTATAATGTTCCCTCTTCTGATAAAAAGCTAAAGACGGCACGGAGAACAGGCCTTCAGTCTGAACCACACGGATAGGAAAAAACAAAACAAAAAAATTTCCTTTTTTCTATCTGTATACCCAAGAAATTATTTAACTTCACTAAGCATCAATTTCTTCATCTAAAAAATGATGATGCTATGTGCAAAGACTTTGCTATTGTCCCAGAAATTCTGACCAAGATCCAAACTGATGGAAAAGGAGATACTTAATATCTCAAAGACAGCTCCAAGTCACCATACAGAGGTACATTACGGATTCAAAGAAGTTCCTGATGTAGAATATCGGTGTACAGAAATAATGTATTGCTCAGACCACTTCAGTGCTAAGACTGGGTTAGGTTAGGGTGGAGACTGATAGAGTCACAGAGTGAATCTCAGGGAAGGGTGTGCAATGACTGGGGTAAAGCTGAGGGTGGGAATACACTGGGAGATGGCACAGGAGATGACTGGGTGGGTAAAAGTGCTTGCTGTGCAAGCCTGACAGCCTGAATGTGGGTCCTCAGAACCCATATAAAGAGCTGGACACTGTTGCATCCGTATGCAATCCCATCATATCTACAGTGAGATAGGACAATCATCAAGAAGTTCACAGGTCAGCAGTGCAGGAGCAGAAACAAAAGAGATCCTGCCTCAACTAGGTGCAAGGAGAAAACTGACTTCTGAAAGCTGCCCTGTCCTCCACACACATGAAACAAACAAACAAAATGACTGAATAAATAAATAGACCAACAAATAAAAGAGAATACACTGGTGAAATGAGGGGACACTGCCAACAAGCATAAAGACTGGCAGTGTGTACAGAGTAGACTTGCCTTCTGGACACACACTTCCTCACCTTCCCTTGTCCTTCCGGGGAGAGAACTGCAGAGGAATGACTAGTAGGGAAGACATATCATTATCTCTGTGCCCATGTTTCAATAGAAAACTTCCCCAGCAAGTAGATGTGCATTGTACCACAACTGGAGGGAGCCAGAGCAACGGTAGGGTAAGCTGGGTCTCAGACAGCCTGGGAATAGTGCACTGGGCGTACTCGAGATAGTCCTGGGAAGACCTCACACTCTCTCAAGAAGGCTAGTCTTTGATCACCTCTCCAAGGAAAGACTTCAGGATCTGGTCAGTCATGGCCAGTGAAACTGCCACAACCTCCGAGGGGCCAATTCTTTCTCCCTCAGAGTCTCTCTCATCTCAACAAATGCTCAGCTTTGAAGAGGGAAGGAAGGCCACAAGGTCTCCCTGGGCCAAATCATGAACCGTTTCCAGCCCCAAGGGTGTCTAGCTTTGACTAAGAGGATAAGGAAGGTAATGAGCTAAACCAAGTCTGAGATTGAATTTTTAAACTGAGCAAGATTTCCAGGAACTGGAAATGGCTATACGGTGGGGGAATATATTTAAGATTTAGTTCAAGGATGAGAAAAGGAAATTAAACTAAACTGAAAAGATAGATTCAACTTACGGTAATTAACATTCCACAGCCATTAGAGCCTCAAACATCTAGTTATAATATTCTTCACTTCCTGGCAAAGAGATCTCATCAGAATCTATATGAAGATACTTTAGAGATATACTTGTGTGTCATATATATATACATATATATATATGTATATATATATGTATCTCCACCAAAAGGCTTTATTTGCCTTTCAATTTATGTTCTAGCAGAGATTATACCCTAGATTCTGTATCAGAACATTCATACATCATTTTTTTTTCTGTTTTCTGTTTTTTTCTGGTCAAGGTTTCAGGATGCAATGCAGGCTGGGCTTGTATTCACAGTCCTCCAGCCCCCTTCCTAGCGTTGGGCTGACATCACCATACCAGGTTATCATTTCTGTCTGTCACAGTAGAGCAAATAAAACTTGGCAACTGGAGTTAGCATATGTTGGTTTTAAAACCAATTAGCATATGAACAATTTCCTAGATGGTTACATTGCTACAAATTAAGGGGTATAGCTAAAGGAAACTATTATTTATACAGGCCAGTTGCATTCAAATAGAGTAACTGTAGTTATGCATAACCACAATATAAGTCACAGGAATTCTTTTAAGCTGGTGTTTTCTAGTGCAGCAGGAGCTTTAGTTTTCTTCTACGTGGAACATACCATTCATTTTGAAACTTTACAAGATGCCACCGTGCTCTGAGTCAACTGCATGTCATCTTTCACTTGGGATTCTAGTGGCTTAAGGGCTCCACCATTCAACCAGTCACACTACTGGGAAACCTAAGGGGCAGTTCTCACACTTTTTTATTTCTTCAAAACTCATATACAGTTTATTGCATGGTAAGTTCATGAGCTAGTCAATAAATGACAGCTATTACTATCTCCATTTTATAGAAAAAGAAAATGGCAACAAAGATTGCTAAGTAGCTGATCCCTGCGAGTAGCAGTGGGAGTCATATGATATTGATGAGGCAGAAATGAAGCTAAGGGTTAGAGGCTTCCTTGATGTTCCCACTGACAAAGGAGGTGATGCCTTCCTGGACAGGCATAAAATGGCTGAGGGGAATTAACTAGGCTCTTTCTGTCCTTCCAGTATATGAGGACATAGTAGCTCTTCCAGAAAATACAGCAAGGTGCAATCTTGGAAGCAGAAACTAAGCCCTGATCAGATATAGAACCTGCCACTGACTGATCTAGAATGTGTCATCCTCCAGAACTGTGAAAAATAAATGTTTAATATTTATAAATCACCCAGTCTCAGGTGATTTTATTATAGTAAAAATCAGCAAAACAGAATGGTATAGTACAATAAGACTGGTATCTCTTTTGCAATGTTATCAGTATTAAATAAAACGATGGTTATGAAATTCCTGTTTTCCTCCTTTTTTATTGGCCAGTGCTGGAAATTGAAGTCAGGGTCCTGTGAATGCTTAGACAAATCTAGTGTTTCTTTGAAAACTACTGAGGATCAGTGAAAATAAAAATGTTGAGAACTACTCAAATAAAACATATATACATTGTTTTGTTTTAAACAATATATCTTTAAACATAATCTTGGGTTTATGAATAGAAGAAATCCCTGATTTAGTATAGGAAAAAAAATCATGATCATCTGTAGCATGCTTTTACTAACCAATAACAAGCCAGACACTGCTCTTTCTTCTTATCTTTCTTTTGACCTCTTTTCAGACATAATTAACATTAGTCACTTTTCAATAATGTTCTATTGTCTAAATTAATTGCGTCTAGGTTATTTCTGAAAAGAGGCAATATAAAAAAGCTTCTTGATTGGATTTTGACCATAAACTACTTGGTAATACTGAAGTTGTAATTATATACTTACATATTTACAATTGATACATATATATTTATAAAATCAGTAAATGTGGCAGCTAACTTTCAAAATAATAATAGCTAAGAATTTCAAATCATTTAATTATTTCACAGGGCAATGTGATAATTTGCATTCAAGACATCATTTGATTGTCTTAACACATCTCCATGATGTAGGTAAATACTTACATCTCATTTAAATGAAATAAATTGCTTACTGTGACGCAGTCAGTGGTAGAATTCAAAATATTGTTGACTTAAAAACTGTAATTCTAAACCACTCAGCCATTTCTTTTCCTGTATGTATTTTATACTGACCAGATTCACTATCACATTCATTTGCTATTTTATTTTCACTTTAGTCGTTTGTTTTACAGAGAATTACTAGTTATCAATTCTGTGCTGCTTTGAAGGAAGAAGAAATCAAATTAGAGAATTCCTAAAGAAGCCATAAAAAATAGGAGATGCAGAGATAAGCACAGTGCAGGTTCAAAAGTCAATAGCTAAGTAATACCATGTGAATGGGAGACCTGACACTGAACAGGCACTGCCGAATATCAACATTGTTCAAAACGCAGGAGAGATGCCCTCTGTTATTTCGAACTGTGGGATGAAGCTGTGTGGGCAAAGAACCCAGTCTTGACAATTGCAGCTGTGTGGTTGTGGAACGTCACATGCTGCCACTTCTCTATAAAATATGAATAAAAGCAATACTTACCTTGTACAGGGGTTGATGAGGATAGAACGTACTTGTTACTTAGAATAACTCCAAGCACATAATTGCATTAGCTATTAGTGATGTTGATGTTGAAAGTTCCTCACTTTTTAGCTAGCACTTCTGAGATTCAGGTTTTATTTTCTAAATCACTATGTAGAACTTGACTCTATTTTAATAACTCTGTTTGGGGAGAGGACTGTTTTCTGACACTGTGGCCATTTTAAATGTGTACTGGAAAGTCCCTTTTCACTTGAAGGATTCTCATTCAGACTGTGTGGCCCAGTGTTCTTAGGGTGCTGCAAGGTTATCACCAAAGGATAGTTTTCAGACCAAAAATAAAACCTTTTGGAAGAAGAAATAAAGCCAGAGGGATGATAATAAAAGGGCATAAAGATTTTGGACATTTTTTCTTTCATTCTCCTATGGTAAAGCCATGCTAAAGTCCCCAGACCTGTTTCACAAGCAGGTAATGACATTGACAGTCATGGAGAAAAGGTCTCTCTTCTATTTTTCTGCTTGCTAGAAAAAAACCCAACTAATGTGAAGTCTAGAAAGGAACTTTGTATAATATAGCTTCACAAGATAAGAAAAGTTGATATGGGCCATGGTAAGTAGGTTCAGAATGGCAGCTAACTGCCCTTTTAATAAACAATATTAAGATACATGGTTTCCATAACTCACCGAGTATCATAATTACCTGGTGTGCTTATGAAATGCAGACCAATCCTTACTTTCCATCACTCCCACTTTCTCAACCCTACCACCTCTAGTGATCTGATTCATGAAGTCTAAGATTAGGCCTTGGAATCTGTTAGTTTTTGGCACTGGGAATCACTGGCTAGGATTGCTGATGCATGTGCTCATAGACATTGACTTGGTAATGGTCACAATAAGACTCTTTTTTTCCCCTCTTCCTAAATTGATATTTAAAAGTATATTATTTTAAAACAAGATCCAAGTTCTCTTAATATTCTGCTTTTCTGACTTCTCATGCAGAGAGCTTGGGAAAGAGTTGGGATAGTAGTCATTATAGGCTTGTCTGAGTCTTATAATCAGCATTTTCAAGCTCGAAGAAATACTAAAGGTACAGTAAAATATTGTTGCTCAGTAGACCCAGACACAACTCTTCCAGTGGGACGGAAGGTCCCAATGAGAATACTAAGATCCATAGATACTGCAACTTCTCAAAGTTGTATAATTAACTGGAAAAATTCTTTTATTCCATTATACTTCAAAACTTTTATTTATTTTTAATAGTTATGTGGATTAGGCCAGTTTCTCATTTTATGGTGAACCAAACCAAGCATGTTCCACTTTTAAAAGCGTTGCCCAATGACTATATGCAGCATCCTTCTTATCAAATACTTCTTAGAACCACGCGGTGAGAATTTAATGGGATCTTACCTTTAAGAGGCACCTTGACATCAAGGCCATAGAATAAAGGCAAGAGAGAAGAACAAGAATAGAAACAGAAACTGCAGAAGAAAAAGAAGAAGATTATATACATCTGAACTTCTGTAAGAGTCATTCAGGTAACACAAAACCTCGGCTTTCCACACTGCTCTCTTCCCACCTCACACATGCACAAGTACTTTGTTGTTTCAACAGTCTATACCTTTCATTCATCTATGGGCAAAACAGTGTCACCACCATTAATGCATATATTTTAGAATTAATTGTAAGGGGGATTCACAGATCATTACTCTAAGTTCCCAATTTAATAGACAAGAAAGCAGTTTAGCTTCTCATAATTTCATGAGACAATGGGAGCCAGAACTCAGATACTTTGAGTTCTACTTTATTATGTATACGGTCTCTGTCAAGTACAGGATTGTGTTTCAAAAATCCACGGTATAATCAAAGCAATAGACTTATTAAGCTGACGCTGTTTGGTTACTGTGATAGGTTTTAGGACTAAGACCCAGCTGGGAGAATGTCAATGTGTAGTGTAAATATATCAGTGGTCACCTAGTGGAGTGCTTTTGAGGAGATGGGACACCATTAGGAATTACATAGGGGTAGAAGGCTTAAACTGGGCATATCCTGGGAAAGTTAGGATGTGTGTCCCTCCTGTTGGAGTGGAAGAAGCTTCTATATCAATGAACATTTCAGATAATGAGTGAGTGTTGTTTCAGCTGTCCTCCCCTGGAGATAAACCTCTCCATAACTGATTCATAAATGGCTTGATCTGATCTCTTTACCAAAACCCTTCACCAGAGAAACAGTCAGTTGGATGAACAAACTCATGAAGTACTGGAATATTACTAATTGTATGTAAATTATAAAGTGTCACAGCCCAGGTACATTTTTAAAAAAATGTCCTTGGTAGTTAACTTTTACATCACACCATGTCCTCCAGGGACATCTGATAAATACAACAGCATGTTTGAATAAGAGTCATGGATGGCAGTCTCCTATTACCCATGCTATCTGTACAGTTCTTTCCCTGCCATAGCTTATCAGGTTCCTGTGCCATTATGGTGACATTCTACCAAAAATTGTAAATAGAACTCTGAAAGTCATGTATTGCTGACTTTTTTTATGATGAAAAGCAGAAATTTCGTTCTTCTTGAAATACTTTCTTGAAGATGTACCCATAGCCAGAGGGCTTCCCACTATTCCTTTAAGGAGAAGGTTAGACATTAGATCTGGGCATGAAGAGATAATAAATTCTTAGTCGCTGCAGTGTGGTAAGACCTGGAATCAGTTGCCCTGGAATTTCAGCTTGCTAGGTTATATACGCTTGGGCTAGATGTTTCATTTCTTTGATTAATTGTTATCATCTTCATAAAAAGGGATCATGAATATTTGCTGGGTATTTCTCATGGAATAATCATGAAAAGAAAGGATACAAAGATAGTGAGTGCTTTGGGCCTGGTGAACTGATCTGTACAATTTTACTGGTTTGTTATTATCCCCTGATTTGTATCAACTGCATGTGTGGAAACAAGCAGCTCAGAGGGACAGTGTGTGCACTCTGAGTATGTTTTAAGGTATTTCAAGGGGAAGAATGAAGAGTACACAGAACATAAGTGACTTTTAGCTGTTTCCCTAGGCTGGAGGGCAAGAAAAAGCAAGAACAAGTGAGTAGAGCATTGGCACAATCTCATCTCCTAGTCTACTCTATCAGAAATCAATGGTGTTATTGTTGAAGCAGCTCAGTTCACTTTCTGGCAATATTCAGCATTTATTACTAGAGGATCTTTATTCTCTATGAAGTACATTACTTCAGTATCATAAATGTTTAGGAAGTTCATTCCTATAAACACTGAAACAGAATGATTATGAAAGACAGTTGACAATCTTAATTCCCCTTTTCTCAAAATTTCCACAGGATCTATTTAGATAAAGGCTAGTGTACTGACCTTAATAGAGTTTACCTCTCTTTTTGAAACCTCAGTTGATGGCAGTGAATAACAGCTCAAGATTTCTGCATAAAATAGCCTCAACTGCCTCTTCCTGCTTGAGTCAGATCAAAGGAAGTTTATGAATGAAGAGAGAGCTTGGCCCCAGAGTAGGCCACTCAAAAATGCTAGAAGTCTGAGGTATGTCTTTTAGTAACTAGTAATTTGGGAGCACCCCTTGCCTTCTCCGTGTCTTTCTGCCAGTTGTAGGGGAATTAAACATAGTTCTAGGTTCATCACACTGCACCTTTGCCTCATCAACCCTGCAGAACTAAACAGTTCAGTTCTGAACTGAGGGAAATTCTAGTTTAAGAAATTTCAGAAATGTATTTTTTAATTCGATCTGTACTTTCATGTTTCCTAATTTATTCATGTGACATCATCCCTCAAAGAACCACAAGAGGAGGTCCATGAGGGTGCTATCATTCCCATTTTATAGAAGTCACTTACTCAAGATGGTATTAGAATCTGAAGATCACCTAAGAAGTTGAGTGTCTGGTGATCTGGCTACCAGCCTCCACCAACTGCTTCTGACCTCACATATATGGGTTACTAAAGCAATTTGAGATGAACTAAATACTAACCACAGTCTCAAGTATGGCAGATGGCTTGCTATTTATTGTCTTTGTGTATGCCCATGGAAGATACTACAAAATAGCCTATCTCAATCCAGGGATTCATGTAGCTAAGTCCAGTCAAGGGGACTGGCACTTGAGAGAAAACTTTTCTGTGCTGTCCTGCATACCTCAGTAGGATGCTCCTGGCCTGCCAGGCAGGACACTTCTTTGTTGTGCCAGCCTGAGCTGAGTCTCCTTTGTCAAAGCACAATCATTTCCAAGTGCCCTCTAGAACACTCTGATTTATTTCCCTAAGCACAGGCTCTTTTGGAAGAAGTTTCTCTTTCCAATTTCCAGTCCCTGGGGAAGTGACAGGAGGATGCAGTTTTAGCTGTCGATTTATACTTCATAGCTTATTGTTCAGGTAAAATTGGAACCCAAGGATGAAAGGGATTTTTATGAATGATGAGAAAGAAATTTTAAAAGGTACTGAACATTCTTTTTTAAAAAGCAAAGTGGAGTAAACTCTGAGAAAAGTGTTGGGAATGAAGATGAGGAAAGGTCTACAGAGAAAACACTGAAGGGAATTTAAAAAATCCAACACAAAGGGCAAAAATACCAAGTGCGCTGACAGTGCAGCCTCAGCCAAAATCCTGGTGTCTGACTGAGGGTGGGCACCACTTTCCTTGTGCCTATACCAGCCTTCGTCAGAGAAAAAGGAAGAGAAAGCACGGAGAGCAAAATCAATGCCGCTTTATGATTAGACACAGTGCAGCAGGCACTGAGCTGAACACACACCTTTTCTTCTAGGTCCTTTATCTGCCTTTTCTGAATGTCTGTTTTATCTTCTAGGTCACGGATCCTCTGAATAAAACAGAAAAAAAATGCCATTAGGTGTTAAGGTGTATGAGAAATTTCACCAAACATAACACTCTCATAAAAACATTAACATTAGTTAGGACTAATAGAAATATCACAAATATACATTTCCATATTTACAAGGTTGTTTCTTGCTACAAAAATTGCCCAAACTTGTGGTGGTAAAATATTTTATTATATATTTTATTTTATTATATTTATTTATATATGAAATCTTTTATTTTTAGGTTTTCTGAAACAGGGTCTCCCTGTAGACCCAGGTTCCTTGGCCTGGAACTCACTATGTAGACTAGGTTGGCTTCTGCCTCATGAGTGCTAGAATTAAAAATGTGCACCAACACACCTGGCCTGTGATTATACTTAAAAAAAATATTTTCTACCTGTTATGGTCTGGATCTTAAATACCCTCCTAAGACCACATTCTAAAGGTCTGTATCAGCCTGTGCAGTTGCCGGAAGAGGGAAAAGCCTTAGAAGGTGGGACTTTGTGGAAAGAAGTGAGGTTATCAGACGCACGCCCTTGAAGGGGATATTGGAGCCCTGACCTCTTTCTCTTCCTTCACTTTCTAACTGTCATGGGGTGACTAACTTTGCTCCATCATATGCAACCATCCATAATGCACTACCTCACTGCCCTTAAGCAAGGGAGTCAACTGATTATGGATGGAAACCTTTATAACCATGGGGTGGAATGAAAGTTTTTCTTCATTAAATTGATTTTCTTAGGTATTTTATTATAGTGACAGAAAACTAACAAACCACCCAAGAATACTTTCTCATCCCTGCAGAGGCCTTCTCTAGGTGAGAGGTGCAGATCCCACGCCACTGCCGTCGGACTTGGCCATGAGATGGGTTTTACCCAGAGGAATATGAGCTTGTCTGAAAACAGTCTGTCCTAGAAATAATGAGCCAGAAGCAAATGTCATTGTGAACACTTTAGATTGATATTTCTGTTATTTATTGCTACAGTAAAAAAAAAAAAATCTAAGCTGTCTTATACAATGGTAAACAGCCCAGTTGATTTTTGCTAGCCTTTCTTTTCTCCATTTCAATCCTGTTTTGGGGTAGAATTTCCTTACAAAACATGATTGACCCATTCTCAAAAACCAGAAGAGACTACATTTCAACACAATTCTCAGAAGAGAGCTGACAAACTGTGTGGAAAACAATCATAACAAAAACAGAACAGCAATCATGAAGGTGAGAAAGCATTGGGCTCTTTGAACTTACCTGTTATTTTTGGAACCACATTCTACTAATTGAAACAGCACAGATTGGATATCAGAATTACACAGACAACTGTTTACAAGTAAAATAAGTCTTCAGAATTCCTGCCAGGAATCTAAAGGTTTTTATACCCATGTACATAGCCACACATAGCAATCTTGTTATTTTATATTGCCGCTGTTGAGAGTAAAGAGAACTGAAGCCTTCACTGGAAGCCCAGCTGACATAGCAGAGATAAAGGTTTTTATAATGCAGTGTGGGGAGCAAAAGGGAAGCTGGATGCAAGGGCATCAACATGGAATCAGATCTCCTCTCTGAAAAGTAGTGCTCAACTGGAGGTGATTTTGTCCCCTCTCCTGGAAGGAGGCATTTGGCACTGTCTATGTATTTTTTTAAGTCAAATGATAATGCTTAGTCTAGAATGTATATGATAGTCACATTTTAGTATAGTTATAAATTTGTGTACCTATCACCAGTAGACACTTTTTATTGTCACAACTAGGCATGTGTGGTGGAACGTGCCACTGGCATCTACTGGGTTGAAGTCAGGAGTACTATTAAATATCCTACAATGCACAAGACACCCTCCCACTCTAAAGAATTAAGAATGATCTAGTTCACATGTCTCTGTAGTACTTAGACTGACAAGCCCCACTGTCAAGGAAAGGAGCTGAGGTTTGTGCAAGACCTGTTGTGTTTGGTCAAGGTTTATCTTGAAATGAAAAGACAATGAATGTGGGCCTGGAATGAGTGTAGCATATGCATAGGGGTGATACGTGTGTATAGGTGTGATGTGTGTGCTGGTGTGGCATTCAATGTATTGCCTATGCTCCAAGGCTACCCAGAAAAACAGAAGTGTAAGACATTTCTACCTTGAGTATGTGCACAATTCCTTGACATGTCTCTGGATACAGAGTTAAGTATTATATTCAGAAAATCATGAATCCATAAGATTATTTAAGTACTTATTCAGCCCTCAACTCTGAGCTTTCCAGTCATTCCGGACATGCCTTTAACTGTACTGCATGAACTGGAGAATACAGCTAAGGGTTTAGCTAGTTACTGGTCTCAACACACTACGATGTTCTAATGGAAGATGAAATGTAACAGAGGTAATAAAAAATTAAGTAGAAAATGTGAAAATGGCTAAAATGTATAACTATCACTGATCACCAACTCATGGGACTGTGTTCAGGTAGTAGAGTAGAATCATCTGAAATGAATCCATAGTCTTCATTATATGATATAGGCTTGTTTTTATTTTCTTGCCAGATATTCATGCATTATCGCTCTCACACTCATTCTCTCCTCCTCTCTTCTCCCCTCCGCTCCCCTCCTCTCCTCTCCCTCTCCCTCTCCCTCTCCCTCTCCCTCTCCCTCAACCCTTACTGGAGCTGATGATAGCTTACTGCAAGTTCTTCTGACTCTAACCTGGTCCAGCCTATATCAACTTATATAGCCAACATGACTGTAAAATGTGAAATGTCAGGCTGGGGATGTGGCGTAGCACTCGCCTAGCATGCACAAGGAATGCAGTTCTATTCTTAGCATCATGGGGGAAAACATGAAATTATCACAGAAGATTCTTAAGACTAAGAGGTAGGGAAAGGAAAAGAAGGAAAAGTTAGTCTAGCTGTACTAAACAAGACCCCCAAACACTTGCAAGGCTCTACAAAACCTGGCCCTTCCTCAGTCTCTGCCTTTACCTTCTATCAACCTTAGTTGACTCTGTGTACTCCTCGCACATTGACATCTTCGCTGGTCCTTGAATATACCCTGGAGATTTAGCACTTGTTATGCCTTTTTCTGAAACACATTGTCTAGACCTTTGCATGGCTGGTTTCTTGGTTTTCAAATATCTTCAGACAAATCTCCACTGACCAGCTGACCTAACCTGGATAACCCTACCTCCTGCCTCACATGCACATTCACACACATCTGCATAAGCTTCTTTGCAGGGCTTAGCTCTTCTTTTGGACATGGCCTATGCCATGGTTCATTTGTGCTGTGGCTTTGTGCCTTCCCATCTGTGTTACAGATTAGATGTCTTCCTTCACTGTCACCTTCCCAACATGTGGTACATGGTAGGCTCTCAATATGCCATGGCTTCTATTAATTATCAGAGGTTTTAAATGTTGATTGTTTTCCTGGAATGTTTTGTCTATTTTGTTCATCAGGCTACGGATTCTGGAAGAGGCAGATCTTTAAAGGGGATCGGTAAAAATGAGAATGTTTGAAGGACATTTTAGAGATGAAAATTGAAAAAATGAAGGCTTGAAAGTAGAAAACCATGGCCAAGCAGCACCAGGTTCTGCACTGCTGGAAAGGGCTCTTGAGAAGGTCTCAAGTCATGCCTTGGGGGAGAAGCAGTCACCTAATGAAGGACTGAAAACACCTGCGCAGGTGCTTTTGAGCAAGAATTTACCACAAGGAGAGCTGAGAGAAATGAAGGGTGGCATGTATGGTGAAAGGAGGAGAGTGGGAAGCACCCACAATTAGGTCCCCAGGGCACCTAGGAACCCATGTGCTTTTGTTGATACCATTTAACAAGATATACCACAATTGCTTTTCTTTAAGCTGAGCACCACGTCTTACAGGACGGCAGTATCCGTGGAGAATTCACTGTATCCACCACTTGTAAATATATTTAAATGTTGGAAACACACATCGATGATAGAGTCAGGCTGATGGCACCTGAAGCCATTGTAATAATGAAAATATCTTGTATATGTTTGTTGCTATGGGTCTGAGCAAACCAAACAACAGTAAAGAATTTGGGGACGATGCCTCATGGATGGGGTGCTACCTAAATTCTTTGAGGGAGAAGGCAGAGAAGACACCAGTAGCCATACCCTAAATGATGTGCAATAAGGTCATTACATTGAACCAAACAAGCATATA